CGACCAGGACCTAGAGGACAGAAAGGACATAAAGGACCTAAAGGAATGGATGGTATGTATCAATATTCGTGTGTGTCAAACCAAATCCGGTAAATGTGCATCGTATGTGCTTACTTAACCCAAGTAATCATTCGCATTGTTTGTATTCGGAGCATTTGAAAATCTTTGAAAGATTGCCAATAACTCATCTTTTTAATTTCTGAAATAACATATGGGTATATCTGTTCAATTTTAAAGCCATGTATATCATGTATATAGCTATGTGTTCTTGCATATTGTGAGAAAACAAAGAAGACAGAATGATCGTAACACTTTCAGTCATAGAAATTTTCAAAAAAAAAAAAAAAAAAAAAAAAAACAATATTCGGTTTCATAATAATGACGGCATTCAATATTCTCTATCTTGATGTGAGATTGAACAAATCACTTAAACTATTAGCTTTTAAAGAGATATTCAAGCGGCCACTTGTAATTAATTGACAAATATAAATATATTCTTTCTAGCAGTAATTTGCGCTGCTGTTCTGGCGGGTGTACCGGATAATGTTCTAGGATCTGGACATAAACAACATTATTGTCATGAAAAAACTTTTCGAATAAAATAGAGAAATAAACTATAAAATATAAGAATAAAAAACATGAATCTTGTAACTTTTACTGAATTTTTGGATGTTCCATGTCAAAGTTACAACTAAATCGGATAGAATTGGAACCGTATACATGCTTATTTTAAAGTCATAGACTGAAATTAAGATCTCAATAACATACAGTTTACACTAAAGTATTTACCTCTTTGTTCTTTGTGAGTTTTGATAAATTGTTTAAAATAATAAAAATTTCGACTGTGAACATCATTCTTTTTCTTAGTGTTAAGCATTGATATTCTAAAAGAATACATATTGTATAAGAAATCTTTATTTAAGTGAATTGAAGTATTTTTCATATAAAGGAACTTGAATTTTTGGTGCAAATTAATACGACTATACTTAACCTTTTGCAAAAAGCTCAATGTTTCATTTACAACATGGTAAACATTAAAATAAAGTCAATACCGTAATAAAAAAACCATTTAAGAAGGAAACTGCCGTCAACACGTGAATTCTTCAATAGAGCATAAGTCAATGTTGGTTTTTCTATAGGTTTGTTTTATAATTCTAACGTACGGCCCCTTTAGACTTTGGACATTAAAGATATCCTCTAGTAAGATTTCCCGTCGACACTGACTCAAACAAGCTTTGTAAGATGGGAGATGTCACTTCGAATAATTTGCATGATAACTTTGCAAATCTGCAGTCGAGTTAACACATCAGTAGAATAGAAAATGGAAACGGGGAATGTGTGAAAGAAACAACAACCCGATCAAAGTACAAAAAAAGCACAAAGCCACCAGTGGGTCCCTTAAGAAGTGATAAATCTTGCAATCAAAACACTCGGCAATATGCGCAGTAAAATGCAGTTTTAATGAATTAAAAGTCATATGTAAGAATGGGAAACAGGAGAAACTAAGCAAAATGACAATCATAAACATAAATGAACAAAGGGCTACTAGCAGTTACTGTCGTGCTAGATCCTGACCTCAATTAAACTAATCGAACGATAATGTCTTCATCAAAAGACAAAACAAATCAATGTCTTTTGTAGTATTATATTGATGGCAATCTGTTTTTTAGGAGCTAAAGGACAACCAGGACCTAGAGGACCCAAAGGACATAAAGGACATAAAGGAATGGATGGTATGTATCAATATTCGTGTGTGTCAAACCAAATCCGGTAAAAATGCATCGCACGTGCTTGCTTAAACCAAGAAATCATTCGCATGTTTGTATTCGCAGCATTTGAAAATCGTTGAAAGATTGCCAACAACTCATCTTTTAAATTTCTTAAATTACATGTGTGTTTATCTGTTCAATTGTAAAGCCATGTATATCATGTATATATCTATGTGTTCTTGCATATTGTGAGAAACAAAGAAGACGGTATGATTGAAACACTTTAAGTCATAGAACTTTAAATAAAAAAAAACAATATTCGGTTTCATAATAATGATGGCATTCAATATTCTCTATATTAATGTGAGATTGAAGAAATCACTTAAAATTTCAACTTTCAAAGAGATATTCAAGCGGCAATTACTTGACAAATATAAATGTATCATTTCTAGCAGTAGTTTGCACTGCTGTTCTAGCGTATGTACTAGAAAATGTGCTAAGATCTGGACATGAACAACATTATAGTCATGAAAATTTTTTCCAATAAAATAGAAAAATAAACTATAAAATATTAGAATAAAAAAATGAATCTTGTAATCTTACTGAATTTTGGGATGTTCCATGTCAAATTTATATCTAAGTCGGACAGAAATGGAACCGTATGCATGCTTATTCTAAAGTCATAGATTGAAATTAAGATCTCAATGACATTAAGTTTACACTAAAGTATTTACCTTTGTTCCTTGTAAGTAGTGATAAATTTTTTAAAATAATAATATTTTCGACTGTGAACATTAATCTTTTTCTTCGTGTTAAGCATTGCTATTCTAAAAGAATACATATTGTGTAAGAAATCTTTATTTAAGTGAATTGAAGTATTTTTCATATAAAGGAACATGAAGTTTTGATTTAAATTGCTATGACTATACTTAACCTTTTTGAAAAAGCTCAATGTTTCATTTCCAACATGGTAAACATTAAAATGAAGTCAATACCCTAATAAAAAACATTTCAGAAGGAAATTGCCGTCAACACGCGTAATCTTCAACAGAGCATACGACAATGTAGTTTATTTTATAGGCTTTTTTTATATTTCTTAAATACGACCCCTTTCGACTTCTGGCATTCAAGATATCCTCTAGTAAGATTTCCAGTCATCACTGACTCAAACAAGCTTTGTAAGATGGAAGATGTCACTTCGAGGAATTTGCATGATAACTTTGCAAATCAGCAGTCGAGTTAACTCATCAATAGAATAGAAAATGAAAACGGGGAATGTGTGAAAGAAACAACAACCCGCTCAAAGTACAAAAACAGCACAAGGCCACCATTGGGTCCCTAAAGAAATGAGAAATCTTGCAATAAAAGCACATAGCAATACGCACATCATAACTCAGTTTTAATGAATTCAAAGTCCTATGTAAGAATGGAAAACAGACGAAACGAAGCAAAATGACAATCGTAAACATAAATTAACTAAGGACTACTAGCAGTTACTGTCGTGCTAGCTCCAGACCTCAATTAAACTGATCTAACGATTATGTCTTCATCAAAAGACAAAAAAAAAATCAATATCTTTCGTAGTATTATATTGATGGCAATCTGTTTTCTAGGAGATAAAGGACAACCAGGACCTAGAGGACCGAAAGGACATAAAGGACATAAAGGAATGAATGGTATGTATCAATATTCGTGTGTGTTAAACCCAAACCGGTAAAAATGCATCGCATGTGCTTACTTAAACCAAGAAATCATTCGCATTGTTTGTATTCGGAGCATTTGAAAATCTTTGAAAGATTGTTAATAACTCATCTTTTTAATTTCTTAAATAACATATGTGTATATCTGTTCAATTGTAAAGCCATGTATATCATATATATAGCTATGTGTTCTTGCATATTGTGCGAAAACAAAGAAGACAGTATGATTGAAACACTTTAAGTCATAGAACTTTAAAAAAGAAAAAAAAAAAAAAACAATATTCGGTTTCATAATAATAATGGCATTCAATATTCTCTATCTTAATGTGAGATTGAACAAATCACTTAAAATATAAACTTTAAAGAGATATTCCAGCGGCCATGTGCAATTGCTTGACAAATATAAATGTATCATTTCTAGCAGTAGTTTGCGCTGCTGTTCTAGCGTATGTACTGGATAATGTGCTAGGATCTAGACATAAACAACATTATTGTCATGAACAAATTTTTCGAATAAAATAGAAAAATAAACTATAAAATATAAGAATAAAAAACATCAATCTTGTAACTTTTACTGAATTTTTGGATGTTCCATGTCAAAGTTACAACTAAATCGGATAGAATTGGAACCGTATACATGCTTATTTTAAAGTCATAGACTGAAATTAAGATCTCAATAACATAAAGTTTACACTAAAGTATTTACCTCTTTGTTCTTTGTGAGTTTTGATAAATTGTTTAAAATAATAAAAATTTCGACTGTGAACATCATTCTTTTTCTTAGTGTTAAGCATTGCTATTCTAAAAGAATACATATTTTGTAAGAAATCTTTATTTAAGTGAATTGAAGTATTTTTCATATAAAGTAACTTTAACTTTTGGTTCAAATTGCTATGACTATACTTAACCTTTGGCAAAATGCTCAATGTTTGATTTTAAACATGGTAAAAATTAAAACGAAGTCAATACCATAATAATAAAAAAATAAACATTTATGAAGGAAATTGCGGTCAACACGTGTAATCTTCGATAGAGCATAAGACAATGTAGTTTATTCTATATGTTTGTTTTATATTTTTAACGTACGGCCCCTTTCGATTTTGGGCATTCAAGATACCCTCTAGTAAGATTTCCAGTCATCGCTAACTAAAACAAGCTTTGTAATAATGGAGATTTCACTTCGAAGAATTTGCATGCTAACTTTGCAAATCAGCAGTCGATTTAATACATCAATAGAATAGAAAATGAAAACGGGGAATGTGTGAAAGAAACAGCAACCCAATCAAGGTACAAAAACAGCACAAGGCCACCAGTGGGTTTCTTAAGAAGTAAGAAATCTTGCAGTAAAACACATAGCAATTCGCACAGTAAAATTCAGTTTTAATGAAATCAAAATCCTATGTAAGAATGGGAAATAGGAGAATTTAAGCAAAATGACAATCATAAACATAAATTAACAAAGGACTACTAGCAGTTACTGTCGTGCTATCTCCAGACCTCAATTAAACTAATCGAACGATAATGTCTTTATCAAAAGACCAAACAATAAATGTCTTTCGTAGTATTATATTGATGGCAATCTGTTTTCCAGGAGCTAAAGGACAACCAGGTCCTAGAGGACCCAAAGGACATAAAGGACCTAAAGGAATGAATGGTATGTATCAATACTCGTGTGTGTCAAACCCGATCCGGTAACAATGCATCGCATGTGCTTGCTTTAACCAAGAAATCATTCGCATTGTTTGTATTCGCAGCATTTGAAAATCTTTGAAAGATTGCCAACAACTCATCTTTTAAATTTCTTAAATAACATGAGTGTATATCTGTTCAAATGTAAAGCCATGTATATCATGTATATATCTATGTGTTCTTGCATATTGTGAGAAACAAAAAAGACGGTATGATTGAAACTTTTAAAGTCATAGAACTTTAAAAAAAAAATTCGGTTTCATAATAATGATGGCATTCAATATCCTCTATTGTAATGTGATATTGAAAAAATCACTTAAAATATCACATTTTAAAGAGATATTCCAGAGGCCACTTGCAATTGCTTGACAAATATAAATGTATCGTTTCTAGCAGTAGTTTGCGCTACTGTTCTAGCGTATGTACTAGATAATGTGCTAGGATCTGGAAACAAACAACATTATTGTCATGAAAAAACTTTTCCAATAAAACAGAAAAATTAATTCTAAAATATAAGCATAAAAGAAATGAATCTTGTAACTCTTAATGAAATTTGGGATGTTCTATTTCAAAGTTATATTTAAATCGGACAGAAATGGAACCGTATACATGCTTATTCTAAAGTCATAGATTGAAATTAAGATCTCTATAGCATAAAGTTTACACTAAAGTATGTACCTTTGTTCTTTGAGAGTAGTGATAAATTGTTTAAAATAATAATAATTTCGACTGTGAAAATCAATCTTTTTATGAGTGTTAAGCATTGCTTTTCTAAATTGATACATATTGTGTAACAAATCTTTATTTAAGTGAATTGAAGTATTTTTCATATAAATGAACTTGAATTTTTTGTTCAAATTGCTATGACTATACTTAACCTTTGGCAAAACACTCAATGTTTCATTTCCGGCATAGTTAACATTAAAACGAAGTCAATTCCTTAATTAAAAAAAAAAGACATTTAAGAAGGAAACTGCCGTCAACACGAGTAATCTTCAATAGAGCATAAGACAATGTAGTTTATTTTATAGGTTTGTTTTATATTTCTATCATACGGCCACTTTCGACTCTGGGCATTCAAAATACCCTCTAGTAAGATTTCCAATCACTGTCTCAAACAAGCTTTGCAAGATGGGAGATGTCACTTCGAAGAATTTGCATGATAACTTTGCAAATCAGCAGTTGAGTTAACACATCAATAGAATAGAAAATAAAAACGGGGAATGTTTGAAAGTAACAGCGGTGAGAATTGCTTCCCTTTAAGATATTTCGTTCTTCAATTGACAGAGAATCAAAGTTTGCCCAAAAAAATATTTGACGTAGATTTCGTCTTTGCAAAGAATGCGGCTGAAAATTGAACATTTTTGCAATTTTGGAGAAAAAAAACGTTTTTTATTAAAAAAAAAAATAAATATGATTTTTTAATCAACATGTACTTATGTAATGGGTCTCAAATTGAAGCAAAACAATTCAAGATTCTTAGAAAAACCTAACTTTACCATTAAAAGCATCAGTTCTTACTTAAATAAAGCCAAAAACGTTATGGTTTTCCCCAAAAACGGCAAGAAATGAACAATTAAAATGCACATTTTAGATATTGAAAAGTATTTCCAACGGTGTCGATTTGGTCAAAACAAGATATGATATTCTTTAAAAAAATGGAAACGTCATAACGGTTTGAAAAATATTGATCAGTATTCTCGTTTTTGAGAAAAATCGAGTAAAATAATATTGTTTACTCAATCCCTTCCGTAAGCCTCACAAAGTGCGGCAAAAATTAAGACGTTGCGGGAAATAACGTTATATTTTCCCACTAATTTTTCAAAGGCAGTGCGACAGTGTGGCAGACAAATGTATATATACACTGTGACTTGGTTGGAGAGTTGTCTCAATGGCACTCACATCACATCTTCTTATTTATAATAAACCAGTATCAGAACGTGATAATAAATCATTGTATTGTGCAATTGCAAGTATGAAGCCACAACCCACACATGCTTTTAAAGCTTCGGCCAGTAAAGAAAGTTCAACTAAGCGCCGACCATCTTTCTATGTAATATATTTGTCCTCTTTGTAATTCTATTTCTGTTAATATTCTCCATACGTTTTTTGGCCGATTCCCGCCGTGCCCTTTCCTTTGAGGAAAGAAACCGCCATTTCCCGACGGCCATAGCAATTTTAATGGTGATTCCGTTATGACGTCGTTGAAACAACGTTCAATTACGGGAAACAATAGACGACGTTTACGTTTGTTATTACCTCCCCTGAAACTGTTGGATATGCCCTTAAACGAATCGAACGATTATGTCTTCATCAAAAGACCAAAAAAACAATGTCTTTCGTAGTATTATATTGATGGCAATCTGTTTTCCAGGAGCTAAGGGACGACCAGGACCTAGAGGACCCAAAGGACCTAAAGGACCTAAAGGAATGCATGGTATGTATCAATATTCGTGTGTGTCAAACCCAATCCGTTAAAAATGCATCGCATGTGCTTGCTTAAACCAGGAAATCATTTGCATTGTTTGTATTCGCAGCATTTGAAAATCTTTGAAAGATTGCCAACAACTCATCTTTTTAATTTCTTAAATAACATGTGTGTATATCTATTCAAAGAAAAAAAAAGTACGATTAAAACACTTTAAGTCGTACAACAAAATATCTGGATATCCTAACAATTCAAAATTCACTATCTTGATATGAGTATGAGCAAATCACTTAAAAAGTGCATTTTATATCACGAACAATTTGAACATACATACAGACATTGTTCTAGAATATTTGAAGAAAAGACAAATATGACAACTGTCGAACCACGATTATAAATAGAAATTTAGTTTTATTGAAATCAGATTGTCTCATTTTAAAAATTAGAAACATAGCTCACAAAGCACCTTTATGAATTTCTGAAATAGCATGTTCTCATATCTGTTAAATTTTCCAACCGGAATCATAGATGTTTTCACATATCGTCAAAAACTGAGAATAGATTACTTTTCAAGCCTCTTTAAGGATGTTCGCTTCTCTCTTTCAAAATTACAAGCCTTTTAAAAGACTGTTACAAAATGAAAGTAAATAAAGAAAGAAACTACAAATGCAGAAAAAAATGAAGGGTCCGTGTGCTTGTTATCGAGATATAAGCTATTGAAAATTTGGCGGGAAATGATTCTCTCTAGATTTTTCATACTATTAACATTGTCCGCTTTTCTCTTTCAAAAACTATGAAAAAATAACAAGTATTTTAAAAGATTTTCAAATATGGCTTATTATGCTATATTTTATAAAATTATGAAAAGAAAACTAACTATGGGTTAGTGGACACATTTTTTTAATGACAAAACATCGATAAAACCAGAGGATTCCAAAAATCTGGCAAAAATTCAAAAACAAGAGGAGCAAACATCCTTAAGGTTGAATGGGTGTCTAAAATGAAAGTGATAGATTTCTCTCAAACTTTGCAAAGTTGATCCCTGCAATATGTACATCGAAAAATTAAATAAAAAAAGTGTGTATATGTGTGTGTGTGTGGGGGGGGGGGGGAGGGGGGAATCATCAATCAACACTGTACGAAAATATTATGGACCTTAAAAATCATACATTTTAGACTTTTTATATAGATATATAGGGAAAATTGTCACCTTTTTACCTAAAAGTCGTATTTTAATAAAAAAAAAATAAAAAAAAAAAAAAATACACAAATGACAGAAATTCCTCTCATTTAAAGGAAATGAAGTTCTTATATTAGCAGCTTCAAAATAATGAAAAAAGAAATATATAGGTCACCGTGAATATAAGAAATAAAATTGAGAATGGAAATGGGGAATATGTCAAAAAGACCAACAACTTGAACAAAAAGCAAACAACAGCCGAAGGCCACTAATGGGTCTTCAATGCAGCAAGAAAATCCCGCACCCGGAGGTGGTTCTCAGCTGGCCTCTAAATAAAATTTTGTGCTAGTTCAGTGAAAATGGACGTCACACCAAACTCCAAAACATATAAATGAACTAAAATTAAAAACATACTAGTCTAACAAAGGCCAGAGGCTCCTGACTTGGAACAGGCGCAAAAATGCGGCGGGGTTAAACATATTTTGTGAGATCTCAACCCTCCCCCTATACCTCTAGCCAGTGTAGAATAAAGAAGCACATATCAATACGCACAGTAAAACTCAGTTTAAAAGAAGTCCGAGTCCGATGTCAGAATAGGTAACAAAAGAAACTAAGCACAATGACAATGATACATAAATGAACAAAGGACTACTAGCAGTTACTGACATGCCAGCTCCAGACCTCAATCAAACTGATTGAAAGATTATGTCTTCATCATATGAAAATCAAGTACAATCCCTCCCGTTGGGGGTTTAGTATCATACCATCATAAAATATATGAGAAGAACACAACCCGTATCATGCCAACAACTGGTTTCAGAATAAATGTGTTTATTTTTGATGCAAAGACCCTATGAGTGAATCAATATTAATACCAAAATATGCAATCCTTAATGACTTGACAACAGTATCGTAACTATATCCTTTCCGAATCAGTCTGTTTAAAGGTTTGGTTAGCCTTTGAGGTGAATGCCGACATTTTTGTGCTTTGAAAAGAATATTACCATAACATATTGGATGTGAAATAGATGAACGTATAAGATGTTTTCATGATGATTTATATTTACGAATGATGTCTTTGTACCGATGATAACATTTAGTAAATGTTTTGACTAGTTTGTGATATCGAAAACCCTGCTGTAATAATGGTGAGATATATAAACACCATAAGATGGGGACAAGGGAACGTCACCATCTAAAATGGATTATAAACAACAGGAAATGAAAAATCATCTCTTTTATCATGAATTTTGGTATTAAGCTTCCCGTTAAAGATAAAGATATCAAGATCCAGGAAAGAGCAGTGTTCATTGTTAGTATTAGCTTTATTTAAAGTCAATTCGGCAGGATAAATCTCTTTAGTGTATATACTGAAGTCGTCATTATTGAGAGCCAATATATCATCTAAATATCTAAAAGTGTTATTAAATTTTTGAATCAGATGTTGTTTCGATAGGTCTTTGCTGATTTAAGTCATAAATTGTAACTCATAACAATACTGAAACAGATCCGCAAAAAGTGGTGCACAGTTAGTTACCATGGAAATTCCGATAACCTGACGATATACGGAATCTCCATAGCGAACAAAAATGTTATCTAGTAAAAATTCAAGGGCAGTTATAGTATCAAAGCAGATCCGATTGACATAGTTCTTTTGTTTGTTGTTACTAAAAAATGACCTAAAAGAGTTTGAACATATATTTTCGCATTCCGACTTTTTAAATACCCATTTAATCAGGTGTGTGATTTTTTTTAATAAGATTATGAGGCAACGTGGTATATAGGGTAGAAAAATCAAAACTTTGAACAGATTCGAAATCACCAATAAAAGCATGCAATTTATTAAGTACTTCCAACGAATTTTTGACACTCCAAAAGTAATTAATTCCATTATTTTCAAAGGCCTTATTTGAACAATTTATTACCAGGTTTTTGATTGTACCAAGTGTTCTAGTAAGTAGAATAGATAGTTTAGTAGTGGAACAATGGCTTGAAGACGAAATAAATCTATATTTGTATGGAGTTTTATGCAGCTTCGGCAGCCAGTACATAGTTGAAACTTTCATTGTATTTGGTTCTGCTTGTAAAGAGGTAGCTAAAAGTTTATGTTTGTTACAGATTTCCTTTTGTAGAACATCCATGTAAAATGTACGTCAAACAATAACGAAAGAAAAATCTCATTTTGTTTGGTTTCCATGGATATCTTAAGCAATATTTCTTAAAAATATTCAATTCAGAGATAGATATTCACTTTAATGGTGGCAAAACAAAATGTCAGATTTTCCTCATACTTTGTGGACTGAAACCTTATTACATGGGTATTTATGTGTCAATGTACAAATCGCCTAAGTTTGTTTTATTAAACAGACTTTTGGGTTTTCAATGTTAAAACAATGACATAAATATTTATGCGGACTCCATATAAGTCTCCTCTCTGAGGATCCCACCTTGATACATGGTGCTAAGGAGACATTCATCACACGGGATAGGCACAGATTAATGTGAGCATTTACCTGTCTAGTTCTCCAGTTAGGCTGTTTTATTTCTTACTACCACAAGTTCAACCATTTTCCAACTATGTAGGTGTTTTTGTATGGTGGTGGTGGTGGTGGTGGTGGGGGGGGGGGGGGGGGGAGTTTTATTTAGGGGGGTGAGTGTTTTAATTCTTTTAAAGGTATAAATGAGCAGTTGCAATATCCATTACACATGCCCTTTTTATATTTTTTGAATATATAAAAATACACATCCTATCATATCATTTTTAATAAAAAAAAAGTACAACTTAAGCTATCATGATAATGTTATTTCAGTTTTTCCATAAAGAGATGAATAGATTTCAAATTGACAAATATCTGATGAATGATTGATAAAATTGGTTTAAAAGGCATCTTTGAAAAATATAGTTTCAGATACTTATGAAAAAAATCCAACAACCTAATCATATATTTGTTCTAAATATCTCGCCCTTCCATAAAACCTATATTAAAAAGTTTCCACATCGTTGTAACAATCTGAATAAACAGAGTTCCAATATCCCTTGTGTTGCACATATTTTATCTATCCAAGGGTAATAACTAAAATAAATTTCTTTGTTTTCTTTAAAACAAATATCTTATAGAAATGAATGATTGAGAGCAAATAAATTACAATTTCGAATGTAACTAATATTTCCAAAGGTCACAACTCCTTCTAAAAATATTTGATCGGCACTGATTTTCAAACTCAACTAAGAGATTGCTGTGATAACCTATGATATAAGTTTTGTAAAAATATGGCACGAAATTGTACACATGAGAGCGCTAAAAAGATTGAACAGACAGACGGACCGATGCCCAGTTTTGTTATGTCCCCAGCGACTCGTTGCACGGGGGACAATAATTACTTTTTGATTAGTGATTTACATGCAAGTCTGCTATAATTGTGTAAACTCTTTAAATAGCAATGAACAAACATTATTCAGTTGAATAGTCATTTTCTTATATAATATTTTTTTAGGCCACGCAAAAATGATTATTTGTTCGCCCTAACCCTGCCGGATCTGTTTTTGCCCTCATGGTAATTTTTTTTTATTTTGCAGACAAAAAAATAAAGTTGCTTTGGTTTCTATTGACAATTTTCAGAATTGTCTTATAACATCTTAAAAAATTGTCAACATTAATCAATTAACATTCCTTTACTTTCACATAGCGTATACTACAATATAGAATGAAAAACAAGACTATACTGTCAGGTTAACAGCAATATTCTCTGTAGATCTAAACTGTTTTTTTCACACAAAAAGAAATAAGATAAAAAAGATTTTCTTCAGTGCCTGATAGGCCTTAATGATTTCACAAGTAAGAGGAAACCGACATTCATTTTTTCCCTGGCCTTATTGTTTCTCTCAAACAAATTTATATATAGAAAACATCTGAAAATTATTTGTCTACATGCAAACAGTGAAATTAATTTAGACATTTTGATAGTATGTTCTTATGTTGTATTGTTACACCAATTTTCCACTTTAGGGGAAGGTTGGTGCCTTCAAACATGTTTAACCATGCCGCGTTCTATATGTGCCGATCACAAGTCAGGAGCCTCTAGTTCAGTACTTGTCGTTGGATCATGTCTGTCATATTTGTCTTTCTTAAGTTGTTTTGATTGTAAATCAGGTAGTTAGTTTTATATTATTCATGTCGAGCTTTGTTGAAGCCGACTATACAGTATGGATTTTCTCATGGTTGAAGGTCATACGGTTGCCTATAACTGCTTACATCCATTTCATTTGAACATTGGTTGATATCTGTCTCATTCACAATCATACCATATCTTACTTTTATATTATGAAGTCTGTATAATCATGATAATTGTCTTTACCACACATGTTCTCTGTTGTTATATGCTCAAATTGGCTATTTTTAAAGTTAGAAGTACATTTATAATGTGACGAAGAAATAATAGTACCAAATGACAGGAATAACCTATTACATTTTGAAATAAGGATAAAAAGTAAATATTTCAACTAGAAAATGCTGATCTGTTTTAGCCATTCTGTCTATGAAAAGCGCACTTTGCTAGTAAAACACTGTCACATAACAGTATAACTTTATTGATTACAATGTATAATTAAGATACGGCCAAGAAAATAAATTTTCCATCTGTATTAGTAACTTTTTTTTAAATTCATTTTACGAAACTTCACCTTATGATTCAATATTCACAACAGCCAGATATATATGTGGCAAGTTTTAAAGGACCAATTACCAACATATTATATTTCTTGTTTAAGAATTGTAACCACATGCCATATAGCATAAGCCACAAAAAAGAAAATATAAGACAGCCTGTAACAAGTTATGTTAATTAAAATGATTTTAGTTTAAAAACAATTGTAGGTTGTACTTTGATAATACAGCTGTTTCATAAACCACGCCTCTTTTGGGGAGATATATAATTTCCATAGATATTTTGTTTTGTTTACATACTGGTTCCCAGATATGATCTCTGTGTTTTTTTTCATAGAGACATAACTTGGGAATCTAACCAGTATAAAAAACACATGGATAGCGGCCAAATTGAATTTTTAAGAAGAATCAAAGTGAAGGGAGGGGTAGTACAGAATTTTAGTCGTAGAAGTTCAGAGCATTTAAATGTTGAAAAAATGCCGCACAATCCTTTGTTTTGACCTTTGAAAAAAAATAGTAATGCATATGATCTAACTATTCTAGGATATAATTCTTAACGAAACTTTATAGAAAAAGTAACATTTTTAGCCGTAAAAGGAGTTCCTATGGGAAATTGCATTGCCTAAATTTACAGAAGTACAACCTGTAAGACTACATAGGAACACGTTCAAGACTTAAAAGGTTTTTAGCCAAAGTAGGCTGGACTTAACGGTGCATTACAATAAAAATGTAGGCAATATGTAGGCAAAATGACCTATAAAGTGTAAAAAATAAGAACGTAGGACAGAGAGTCGAAGGACAAAAAGTCACAATTAAGTTCTGTGATAATTTTTCTTGAATCCTGAATAAAAAAAACACTTATTTAAAAAAAAAAAATACGTTTGTATTGTTCTTGAACTATTATATATAAAGCAACTTTACAGCTAATTATACTACCATGGATTTGGTGCGCATACAGAACAACCCTCCTTCTCTAAGATATTTGAATTTAATTCAGCTATGTCACCTGCGTGATTCTTAGGAAAAAGTAGTGCTTGTGGTAATCACAGGATACGAATGGTAACTGGTAGCATTTGTCATGCATACTTGACAAAGCTTTATGACAAAAGAGATGATTTCAGCTTCCCTACTGTGAACTTTCTATTTTTATGTAGCAACATTCCAGCAGCGCCTGCATACGGAGTATACATCTTCCAGTTGATACGATACTCAAGAGCTTGTATTTCCTATCATGATTTCCTCACAAGGTAGCTATTAAACCAAGAGTTCCAAGTGGTGAAGTTGAAGTCAACCCTTGGTAAATTTTACGGACGCCATCACTAGTTGGTTGGCCGTTACGGAATATCCGTTTTACAAATGATAGCGGATAAATTCCTAATGTCGTAACTACAATCCCGTTCCCTTTTCCTGAATGTGACATACCGAATTAGACTTATTACCGGGTTTGTACTAAAATGAGTAACACGACAGGTGCCACATGTGGAGCAGGATCTGCTTACCCTTCCAGAGCACCTGAGATCACCCCCAGTTGTTGGTGGGGTTCGTGTTGCTCAGTCTTTAGTTTTCTATGTTGTGTTTTGTATACTTTTGTTTGTCTGTTTGTCTTTTACTTTTTAAGCCATAGCGTTGTCAGTTTATTTTCGACTTATGAGTTATAGGGTACTGTTTTTTTTGTTTTTTTTTTATTAATAACCATTACCATTAATAATAAATTGTACGCTATCAAATGATTTTTTTTTTGTTTTGAATTGCTCTGATGAGCACTTGTGCTCTGATCGTTAGCGGACGATGTATAAAACTTACTTTATAGTCACATCATCTTTGGTTACATACATTTTTCTCAGAATTGCTGGTCCTTTTCGAGTGTATAACAAGTGTGAAACTGCTTCATTAGCTACACAAATGAAGATCGTATTCTATAGTTATTATATAGTTGCCACTGTCGTGCAATAAAAGGAAAATTATTGGATTAACTTATTGTTCTTTTTTCCCCTATATATAGGTAAAGATGGTGAGTATATGGAATTAAACGTTTGTTTTATACAATAGATTCGGTTTGAGATTTTGATGAGATATTTCAAGATCAAACTTATTTATGTCGATTTCAATAATGGTATCAGAAATTATAGGATTAAAATGTGTTTCTTGGCCTTCGGCTGTTGTCTGCTCTATGGTCGGATTGTTGTCTCTGTGACACATTCCCCATTTCCATTCTCAGTTTTATTCTACATTGTTCTACCATAGACAAAAGTATCGATTTCTGCTCGACTATTTATTTTTAGCAAAGTGCTCTCGACCAATGATATTATAGAATTTGATGTTCCTTAATTGTTAAGAATGAATGTATACTATTGTTTAGGTTAAGTTCACTTCAAAACAAAGAATTTCTATAAATGAGTTTATCAGCTCGAACGGATATTGATCGATTGCATGTTGAAGTTTTAAAGAAATCAAATAAATCAAAATAAGCTTGTAATTAACTGGTGCAGTCAATGTTGTGCCGGTAATTTTCTTATGTGAATATTAAGAACTTCAAAATTACCAAAAATGCTAAATCAAAGCAATGCCGAAACAAAACTTTTTAAATTAAACATAATTTAAATCTTTAGCTAACACACTTATCAAATCTTAGATTGCTGTATTCGCAGTTAGTAAAGCAATCATGTCCAATATACAGAAACAATTTAAACAGGAACTTAAATCAAATTTGAATTTCACATAAAAACGTTCTATTTGAACATTTAATTCTAGTTTGATATAAGAGCTGGAATAATTCTCTAGCATTAATTATAGAAACAAATATAGGTGAATTCTCTAATTGTTTTATTCTTTTAAATTGGCTCAAATTTATTTGGGGAAAATTTTGAAGTTGCATTATAAGCATCCATTTAATTGTCGCCGTGTCATTTACCTTTATTTTATAACACAGGAAAACTATTAGTACAGAAAAACGTCAATCTGAATGTCCACTTGTTTGTTGAAAAGGGAAAACTAAGAATTGGAAGAATAGGTAAATACAAACGATTATTAAAAGCACAGCGCACAATTGCCTACCTATTTTTGGATGAAAAGGGATATTTTGCATGCATTTAAAGTAAAGGTGATGTAGAAGTTTATATTTTTTTTTCTGAACACATGTATTTTGATTAAGCTTAGATCTTTATATTTGACTTAAGTGATCAGTGAGAACAGAATCAGTTTAGTTTGTAAAATAACCTAGCATTTCACGTAGTAAGTATACTGATTTAGATAAAGCTCGGAATTCGTATACATTCAAATGCGTATACATTGGTACCTGTACAACTTCCCAACTCTTAGTCATTATATAGTACACTGTGTTTCAAAATAGCATTTAAATTAACTGTTTGTATAGCTATTAGCAAATGTGATGATACCTTTTACCGTTGTTTGAAAGATTTTGAGTTTGAATGTGTCTGAAATTGATTGACACGTATTTAATCGACCTTTTCTTCATTTCTACATATTTATTTTTGCTTGAATGTTTGGTTGGCATGCTGTCGTCCAATTTGACAACAGAACAAACAAACAAACAAAACAAAACAAAATACAACCAAAACCAAGTACATAAAGCATAAAGATTAATAAAAAAACATTTGTTTATATGGACCTAGGTATCTTATTTAATCTTTAGATATCAAAAAGGTAGGACTACATAACCATGCTTGTATCTCCAACTATAGCCATTTTTCAAAAAATCTTCTCATCTTTATTTAGTATGATATCCAATTTTTTGTTCTTAAGGGTTGGTATAATGGTATACTGTCTTGTATTCTGTTTCCGATTGTATCTACAGCAAATTATCAGAATAAAGTTCATAAAAAAGGAAAAAGAAAAAAAAAAAAAAAATACCGAACTCCAACGGATATTCAAAACTAAAAGTCCTTAATCAAATGGCAACATCAAAAGCTCATCATATCAAACGAATGGAAAACAACTGTCAAATTTCTGATTTGGTACAGGCATTTCCTTATGACTAAAACCGTGGACTAAACCTGGTTGTTTAGCTAGCTAAACTCTCACGTGTATGACAGTCGCAGAGAGTTTCATTGTATTGACAATAAAGTGTGAGCAAACAAACAGACACACTACGTGAAAATGTAAAACAAATTAGCGTACAACAGTCAACATTGTGTTAAAATCTCAAATCACTATAAAAACAAATAACTATTTAAAAAAAGAAGAACGAAATAACATATATAATTAAGCACAAAAGCAACAAATAAAAACAAGAAGACAACAAATGACATATTTTTAAATGGTTCAAAAAATAGTATGGCTTATTTCTAAATATATCACTACATAAGAAAAACCTTTTAAGAAAAGCTAAAACGGAAAATTTGACAAATTTGGAATACTTATCCCAAATGTGTATAAAAAAGAAATCGTTAACCAAACCCAAAACAACATTGTCACACAGTGTCAGATTGAATTTAAGCTAGGAATTGTCTTTAAGAGGCACATTAAATCATTTTAGTCAACTTCGTCAATAGAATGTTTATTGTATGAAAATATGTTAAATTTCCAGCAGGATGTGGGGACTTTTACATATTAACCCCGTGAGTCAAACAAAACCAGTAAATATCGACCAAACTACTTTCAAAGAAGCAAATTTTAAAAGGATGATATGTTTACGTAGCTGTAAATTGTATTTTTCATTGTTTTTTAATGGAAGAAATAAATAAATATAATTTGGGATTCGTTTATATATAACGTATTTAAAGATTATAACATGTTCTTTTCCATATCGGCCCTGATATCATCCCGAGACTCCCATAATACCCATAGGAGCCAGCCGAGGGCTCATATTGGTCAAGGGATGATACCAGGGTCGATATGGAAAAGGACATGTTATAATTTATTGATAACATAGTATACAAATGCTGAAAAAGTAGGAAAAATATATTACTCCGTCAGTCAAGATTATACATTTGTGTCCTCACTGAAATAATGCCGCTGTTATTCTAATCGACGTTCCTAATTCGTCATTGTTGTAATGAACGCTTATGACGTCATTACAGGGAAAAATAACTAGTTATTTGCCCCGGACAAGAATATGACTAGGACAATTCTGTGGTTATTTCATATTCAAAACCCTACGTTTCCGTTACAAATATGTGATAATTTTCTATTTTGAATGTTATAGAACAAGTCAAAATAGAGAAAGCTGTGACAGATTACGTTAGTCATCATATACCTCTAAACAACAAAGCTTACTATGATCACCAAAACAATGGAAATAATGGCTTACAACAAACCAAAACAGAACACAAGTACAATACCAGACACAGGAATTACGAATCCAGGCGCAGAAAAAAGAATCGCAGTCGTTTCAATGTTGCTGGTTATTTGAAGAAACGGTTACATAAAAACGCGGCTAGCAGAAAAAAGCAGCATCGATGAGGCTCATGGAGAAACGAGTTGATAATAACAATGCTAATTTACGATTCAATTTACGGAAAAGTTACCATAACTCAATCCAGTATGCTGATTTTAAAAATTTCGTTTACAAAAACTGATACTTTTTGGTTCAATATACACTCATTTCTTTCATAAAACAGTAATGTATTTGTCTAAAACATTCAACATGTTAAAGTTGTGCCTATTATCTTTAACTTAATAAAGCGATTGCAATTCTATTAGATTTGACTTGTGTTTAATTTATTGCACGAAAAACAAAAGATAACGTTTAATTAATGCCGTCTAAAACCCTACGCTATCTGTTATTCGCTCAACGAATCCGGTCATATATGGTAAACCGTAGTCCGTTCGTCCATCCTCAATCATCTAGCCGTACCTGAAGTATCGTTTAAGGGAACATGTATATGTTCAACAATAAAAAAAAGTATCGTTTATCAAATTTTGATGTAACTTTTACACAAAATAGGCTTTCCAAAAAAAATCTAATTGAATGTGTACTGATTTATTGTTTAGTCATGGCGAACATGATTTATTTATTAAATACAATTTTCTCCAAACTAGCCTTTAGTATATGCAACTACGATACTATGTGTGCTGTTGTACTAATGTCAGTTGTTACGTGTGTTTTGTGCTAATCTGATGAGTCACATCTTTTCCAGCTAATTTGTACAGTATGCTCGTATGTTGTGCAGCTAAACCACTGTTTAGGGTACATTTTGTTGAAAAGGCAGGGTCGGGAGCGCGCAAACATGTTTAACCTCATTACATTCTGTGTGTGCCTATCCCAAGCCAGGACTCTGTAACTCAATAGTTGTCGGTGGTTGCTGTCTGTCATATCTGTTTTTCGTTAATTGGTTTGTCTTAAATCAGACGTTATAACTATTTGAATTGTTCTAAATTTTGTCATTTTTTGGGCTGTTAACAGTGATTATACTTGATGCTCATTGTTAAAGGCCAATATAAGCTAACATTAACGTCTTTTTGTTGATAGTTATCTCAATGCCAACTATACGATGTCTTATGTCTTATTTTTATAGTAACAATTTTATTTTTAAGATTTCAGATAAGTCGATTAAGATAGAATTAAGAGACTACAAAAATTATGCATTTTTTATGAATTGAACTAAATTATATGAATTGGCTGATTGATTTATTGATTGATTGATTGATTGATTTATGTATTATTCGATTGAATATGTTGATTAAATGATAAATAGATTAATTGGTTGATTAACAGGCTGTTTTTACTTAACGTCAAGTGACAAATAATGCATACAACAACAACAATGAGCAATATCCCAAAAGGTATGTTTTCCAAAGTATTTCGACCAACATGACGGAAGGGAATTCAACGGGTAAAACTTTTGTCCTGCAAAAGGTCATTTATAGTCCCTCGAATCAATTCACATTTTTACATTATTATAAAATTTTGCAAAACTGTCGTTCTCATTTGGGAGACTTAAGAAAGGTATTTTGGTATATATACCTGCTAATTCACGTTTGTTTACAGAGAATCACGAAAATTGTTTTATAATATCATGTTTAATAAAAGTTAGATCAATGTTGACGATTCTCAGGTCAGAAATTATAATGTTATTCAATTTAAATGTCATAAACTATGCAAATCTGCATATGTCTCATAGTAACTATACCATGGTTTATATATCACAAACAATAATGACATTATTTACATAAAAAAAAACATTGCGGACGTTAAATCCAAAGCTTCGTGTAGAGAAAGTGCCACACTCTCTGTACGATAACAAGCAGTGCAACAACTCATCGAGGGGTCTGTGGGTGTCATGTCGCAAGACTTAATCTCTGTCCTTATCTCCTATCCCCGCATTTTCCAAAATTTAGAATCACCTATGTCGCCTAACATTGCAAGACCTTTTTATTGATTTCATTATTATATTGTTCAAATTCCTCGGTCCCGAGTTCAACGATTTTAATCATTGTAAATTAAGTTTTTTTTCAAATTTTTGATCTATTCACGTTTTCTTTCACTGAAAAAAAATCTGTTTTTGAGTGTGGCAACTTATTATCAAGTCTATATATTCCACGGCTATTAGACAAAAAAAGTAGGCTAATTTTCGCATGTCTCGTGATGTTTGAAATCCGTTAAAAAATTAATTTGAATTTTATGCATACGTTTTTTTTACAAAAAAACAAATATGACGGACATGAAACAACGACAACCAGTGAAAATTGAGACAGGTGCATATAGAAAGTGGAAGGGTTAAACATGTTTGCTGCGCCAAATACTCTTCCTAACCTTGAACAGTAATAAAACAGTACAACATCAACACAAATTATAAAATATAAATAATACATTGTATTGTGAAGTTTTCATACTGTCATGTCCCCTGTTATTTTAACAATGTGTATTATGTTCTTTACTACATAGTCCTCTTCGATCTAATCTAATGGTTTTTTTATCAATTGTATGAAAGATAACAAACTGCTAAAAAAACTATTGAAGTTGTAATTGGAATATACAGCGATTTGGATTTTATATAAGATAAAACAAATAATGCATGCTAGCATGCTATCTTGTAAAATGTAAATTACTACTTTTCATTCTGTGTGTACATTTCTAGCTACTTCCGCCATTGATAGTCGGTTTGACTATCTGGGATGTATGAATACAAAGCGACGTCTACAATGTAAACTCGTTTGGAATAGCCCTGGAATAGATTATTTTAGCTGTATTCGGCAAAACCTTTCGGAATTTTGGGTCTTCAATGCTCTTCAACTTCGTACTTTATTTGGCCTTTTTCACTTTTTGATTCTAGCGTCACTGATGAACCTTGAAAAAAAAAAAAAAAAAAAAAAACGCACGTCTGGCGTAGAAACGTTAATTCTGATATCTACATGTATGATGAATATATTTCATTGGAAGGTCAAATTAAATGCATACGTGCGTGTATACTTTGTAGTCAGCTTCCCCATATTGGTAATTATAATTATTTGGACTGAAAACATTCTTTCCTTCAAATAAGAGGTTCAGCTTGTTGTAAAAACTGGTATCAAACTATAATATTCATTTGCTGGTACCAGCTCAATTGATAATCGTTTGCATGGTTAAAGTATAAAAATATTTTCCTTACACAAGCAATAATGTATACATGGTACAGATGCGAATTTATAACAAATGTACTTTGACATAACTAAATTTGGTTTTTTTCTTCAAACGGGATGAAAAGAAACACACACACGTTCATTTTTATCTATAAAGAAGTCACTTCTAACTATCCTACTACCTGTCGATACATTTATTTTTGGCATTGCACAAGTCATGTCTTCCTTGACTGTTCATGACGTTAAAATACTAAATCCCTGGGATGTATTTTAGTTGATTTTAGTCTCTGATGCATGATTTTTTATTATTAATTGTTTTGGCTTTTAACTAGCTGTCAGTAACTGCGAGTACTCTCAAATCGTACTTTCTTTTTAATATGACCTGTTGATACTATTTGTAATGCTTTTTTGTTATCTAATGTTAACATGGATCTTGTCTATATACCAGCTTTGATTATTTGGTATTTAATTTACTACAAATTTTCACTTCTTCGTACTATGAACATCAAAATTATTTCATTTTTCCTTAGATGCTGTTCTTGGACCTTTTCCAGGAAGTTTTGTCTAGCACTAATTGTAGTACAGACACTCCTTTTTTCTTTCATTCGTAATTTGACCTTTTGTGTTTGTGTCCTTATGCTGTGATTTTATCAACATACACCAAACAGCTGATATATATATACAGATCTTGTTGTTGAATGATATTTATTCAATGACTCCTGCTGATATTTAGATATCTTTAAAACTGCACCATTGTTTGAAACAGTATCTAAGATCAAAGGTTTGTTCAAAGCTAAGAGTCAAATAACTAACGTACTTCCTTGAAATATATGACTTTCATTGTGATTGATTAGTTTCTCAATAACCATGTGCATGAATACAAATGCATGTTTCTTTTTTTTATCAATAAGCAAAATGAATATGCAAACTAAAGCAACAGCAAATTGGTGTGTCGTTATATTAACTGAGTAGTTAAAATTAACATGTATTATCATTTTGAACACATTTCTGCAAGTGCAAACCACGGCTTGCATTATATCATTTCACATGTTTAATACTGAATGTATTTATCTGAATTTAGTATATTTATCAAAGCAAACACAGTTATTATGAAAGTATGTCAGATCTAATGATACGTATCTTTAAATATTTAAAAGATTTTTACATATTTTTGATCAACAATAATTTAACTGTATAAAATTGAAACCGCGGTAAAAATGAAAAATATTAAAAAAAATTAGAAAATTAGAAAAAAAAAAAATATTTTGAAGCCGTTGAAGGGGAAACAGACGTGGTATCTATGTTAGAGAATAACGAAATACACTTGACAATGTCTGTATTGAAACTTGCCTCGTCTGTTTTTCGATCAATGTTTACAGCAGAATTCAAGGAGACGGACGCAGAAAAAAATTCCACTTCCAGGCAAGAAATATGGGCATTTTGTTTTCTTTCTGAGAATTTTTTATCCTGGGGAATATTAACGATTGAATGGTAAGCATTTGTACAAATAATAAAACAAATTTAACAATTCAAGATTATGACAATTCAACACACATAAATACCTCAGTTCTAACGCTATAACAGTATTAGATCTAATTTATTTTCGTGTATATAGCTTTGAGCATGTGAATAAACTCATCATAGATACCAGGATTGAAAGTTTGTGTTTTCGCCAGACGCGCGTTTCGTCTACAAAAGACTCATGAGTGACGCTTGAATCAAAAAAAGTTAAAAAGGCCAAAAAAGTACGCAGTTGAAGAGCATTGAGGACCAAAAATTCCTAAAAGTTTGCCAAATACAGCCAACGCAATCTATTCCCGAGTCAGAAAGCCCAAGTATGATAGATTGTTGATGTACATAAATTTTTGACAAAGCAATTGTGATACCTGAGTTTACATACCTTCATATAATTTTTTTTTCTTCAATTTACCAAGGTTAACAGCAACAATGATAACTGTATATTCCTAGAATTAGATATATAAGTTTTACACGGGAAATATTATATAAAAATAAAAAAAGGGGACACTTTTCAGTACTTTATTGTTTATTAGCCTTTTCTGAACGGTGTTGTTCATTGCACTCCGTTTTACGATGTTTATATATCCAATATCTTATGCAATCTTCGTGTCTGTAGTGA